GTATCATCGTCCTCACGGGCTACTACATGGTCACCATGATCATCTGGTTCACCTCGGAGCATATCTTCCGAGCTCTGGGGCAAGACGAGTATATTTGCCGTCAAAGCGCTCGCTTCTTGCAGCTTCTGGCCCCTGGGGGACTCGGATACGTTTGGTTCGAGTGTATGAAGAAATATCTCCAGGCGCAGGGCGCATACCGAGCGGGCACATACGTCTTGCTCATTACGTCTCCTCTTAATGCGCTTTTGAACTATTTGTTCATTTATAAGATGGGCCTTGGTCTGGATGGAGCGCCTATTGCTACCGGCATCTCTTACTGGCTGTCTTTCATTCTATTGGTGGCCTACTCGGCTTTCATTCAAGGCAAAGAGTGCTGGGATGGATTTGCCCCACGAAAGGCAGTGGCTCATCTCTGGCCATTTGCTAGACTGGCTTTTCTCGGCGTTATTCATGTCGGAACAGAGTGGTGGGCGTTTGAGATTGTCGCTCTCGCCGCTGGCCGACTTGGAACAATCCCGCTTGCCGCCCAGTCTGTTGTTATGACGGCGGACCAGATCATCAACACGATTCCCTTTGGGCTAGGGGTAGCAGCGTCCTCTCGCCTTGGTAACTTACTAGGCGCCGAAGATACTCGGGGAGCAAGGCGCTCTGCGCACAGCGCTGCAGTCCTGTCGGTGATATTCGGCACAGTGATTCTAACGGTGTTGATGATATCCAAAAGAGAAATCGGAAGGCTCTTCAACGATGATGAGCGAGTCATTGACCTTGTGGCTGCGATCATGCCTTACGTTGCATTATTCCAGATTGCAGACGGATTGAATGGTAGCTGCGGAGGAGCACTTAGAGGCATGGGTCGCCAATGGATTGGAGCAGTGGTAAATTGTATTAGCTACTACGGTTGCGCTCTACCTGGTGGTATTTATCTGGCGTTTCATGGATGGGGGCTACAGGGACTCTGGATGGGACAGTGTGTAGCTCTATTTCTTGTTGGTATACTAGAATGGATCATCGTAGGGCTGAGCAACTGGGACGTAGAAGTAAAGAAGGCATCGGATAGACTGGTGGCCGGCGGAATGGGAGGGGGAGGATATGGCACTATTCATGGTGAAGCGTAACTCGGCTTGACGTACATATCGTTTAGTTTAATCGTTGGTAGGTTTGATTATCCGATATATTCAAGGCATGTCCTTTTCATGCTCGTCTATTTTTCTAAATGTTCTTAAGGAGTCATGCAATTATCGGGATGATGGCTTTGGTTCCTTATCTTGCGCCCGCTCAGCCGGGGTTTGAGGCTTGGTTCCACTCCCCCTTGTCCCCCCACACACCCTAACACTGGTTGTGATAAGACTCTGGTGACATTCCGAGTGTTCCAGGCACTGTTTGATAAGAGAAGCCGCCAAGTGGCGCCTTTTTGTATGCATGATGGTGCGCGTTGGGCAGGGCTGACCACCTTGTTCCCTTACTTAGCCAGCCATGAAGGATATCCCCCGTTATCTTCATCTCCCTATAGAACCTATTGTGCAGGGTTGCGACAACTTAATATATATTTGGGTGCCATCTCTCTCTTTTTTATGATGCTACTACCCAAAGAAGTGGTATGAACCTCAAAGATAATCACCTAGCTACATTTGAACCCCAAGCCCTTTTGCTTCCGTTTATACACACATTTCCTCGTTCAGTCCCGTCATGGGTACACTCACCAACGAAAAGTCCTCGGCCAGGACCGAGAAAACGCCAATACCAGGTGAAGACACTATTGCTATTCCTGAGAGCCGAGTCAATGCGTCCGGCCATAATGATCAACTCAGTCGACAGTACGGGCTTCTCGAAGCTGCCGGCATGGCTGTCACCATCAACAACGCCTGGGTTGTCCTGGGTTCTTCCATCTCCGTTTCTCTCTGTAAGTATAACTAGAAAGCAGTGAAAGACGAGGAGGATTTCTGTTCAAAGGCTAACCCCATCTCGTGAATAGTGAACGGGGGCCCTCCCGGTGTCATATTTGGCCTCATCGTGGCGGTGTTCTACTATAGCTTCATCGGCATGAGTCTTGCGGAGGTACGTTCGATCCACGCGATAAAATACCTAACTGGAACCTAAAAACAAGAGCACAGTTCGCATCGTCGTTCCCATCTGCGGGAGGTGTCTACCACTGGGCTACGATCGCCGCCGGGCCGAGTTGGGGGCGAGTCACCGGGTTCTTCACAGGTTGGCTCAACTTTTACGGTTCAATTTTTGGTCTCGCTTCACTCGTCCAAATAGCCGCCAACGCTGGAATACAACTCTACGCCATATATAACCCCGCATACGCCGCCGAAGCGTGGCATGTTTATATCGCATACCTCGTTATCCTCTTCTTCAGCACACTGTTGGTTCTCTTCGCCAACCGGCTTGCACCATACTCTCAACACTTGGGATTGTTCTTGGTTATCTTTGGAGGTATTGCCACCATCATCGTCCTTGCCACCATGCCGTCTGAGCATTCATCGAATGACTTTGTATGGGCCTCCTTCAACGAAAACAACTTGAGTGGCTGGGATGGAGGCGTTGCCTTCATGATTGGTGTTCTAAATGGTGCATTTACGATTGGAACAACAGATGTCATTACTCATATGGCTGAAGAGATGAAGAATCCTGAGAGAGATCTCCCAAAGGCCATCTTTCTACAAATCGGCATTGGTGGTGCATATGGCTTGGCATATGCTATCGCTCTCGCATATGCCATCTCGGATATTACTGCGCTCGATGCTGGCGTGAACAACTTCCCACTAGCCGGAATCTACAGACAGGCCACAGGAAGCCCGGCTGCCACCTTCGGGCTTTTGTTCATAATTTTCCTGTCTGTTGTATGTTCCGTTATTGGCAGCCTGCTCTCTTGCTCACGAATATATTGGGCCCTGGCTAGGGATAATGCCGTTCCTCTCTCTGGCGTATTCCGCAGAGTGAACGAGACTCTAAGCTGCCCGCTTGAGTCTACTCTATTCGTTGCAGTCGTAACAACAGCAATAGGAGCTATTCCCATCGGCAGCTCTGTCGGCTTCAGCAATCTTACTGGATCGTTCATCATACTTAGCACAGTTTCATACGCTATCCCAATGGTCGCAAATCTCGCCACTGGACGAAAGTACTTTACCAAGGGACCTTTCAGCCTCCGCGGCCTGAAGGGATATGTGATTAATTCTCTGGCTATCATATTCATTGTGTTGTTCGACATCTTCTTTTGCTTTCGTGAGTTTCCTGGTTTTTTTTTGCTATATCGCTTTTTGCAATAAATTGGCATACTGACACTTTATTGAACAGCCCTGGCTTTGCCTTTCGATGTGACGACAATGAACTACAATTGTGTGATTCTCGCAGGCGTTCTCGCAATTACAGCCTTATGGTGGCTAGTACATGCGACAAAACACTACCCCGGCCCAATGTTTAAGGATATTTACGTACACGACGAAGAAACACAATCAGAAAAGAACTAGAATGAACAAAATTGACAGATTGGAAGGGTTTAATGCAGTCTTGGTGTTCAATACTTAAGGGCCGGTCTATGTTAAGCAACAACAACACTAACAACAATAATAATAACAAAAATAACAATAAGTACCTAGTCATCGGTCTATTGAAGGGATGTGAAAATTGATCATCATCGGCTGTTGCTCGGGTTCCGCCACGAGACTAACAGCATTTGGAAGCTGGGTCATTTAGCCACATCGTTTCACGCACTCTTTATTTCTTGTATTTCTTACATGTTTCTTTAAACCTTGCGGCCTCCATAAAATTAAGCACCCAGGGATGACATCATCCAAGAGTAAATCTGTGTGAACTCGATGCTTGAAATCGCCAAGATCTAAACAGTTTTCAGCCCCCTCCCAGAGGAAACAGGAGTCGCTCCAGTTGTACCAGCATCCGGAAGTAAGAAAAAAAGTGCGTTTTCCACCCTCCATAATACTCTAATCTAAGGCCTAGATCACGAGAGGCTTTGTCGGGGTAGCTTCTTTGGTAAGCATAATTCATGTCTATTTTCACGGGATGCCATGGGGAATGGCCCGATACGACATGGATCGATCAGCAACCTCGCTTTGTAATGAGCTATCTAGATTGACGGGACCGAGGGCCAAGACATCGACGAAAGATGGGAGGGCATGTGTGGTCTAATAAATCCTCCGCCCGGCCCTTGCCATGTTGAAGGGAACATTGGCTATTTATTGCACAATCTACATACACGCGGCAAATCTCTGCACGAGATGGGAAAGGGAAGACGGGAGGCAAATAGTGTCGCACTTGGGCCAATCCCGTCAGAGAACGATAGCCTGTGCAGGGTTTGTTTCCTTGGGTTATTTGATAGTGGGCTTTAATCCCGCGTCTCGGAAGTCTATTGTGACTGGGTCGATCCCGGCGATCAGGCGTATAGTAGCAAATCAAAATAGGATCTCGAGAAGGAGCATGCAGTCCTATACCGACCTGTTGTTTTCGGCATACTGACATGAGGCCTTGGGGGATGCCGAGTAAAGGAGTGATCCTACTTTCGCATAAACATCCTGGTTAATGATTTGGCATTTCTTGGCAGGACTGCGCTGAACAATCAGAAACAAATTGAGGTTTCAATGATTTGACTTAGGTAATACATGTACCCTCTTCGTCTCATAGTTGCAGCTCCTCCTCTCTTCTCCGGGACTTTATGTATACTGTCAATTGTTCGTATCATGCGGCGAAGCTGTGCCTGGATCGTCTGCGTGTCTTCTCTGTCGGCACTCCACTTTGGTTTACTCTGATGACGCCTCTCGAAGATCGATAGTCAAAATGCATCACCTACTAGCACAGTTGTTGGTCTTAGTGACCGCTTCTGGTGTCGCTGCACAATCATTCCCCCTCAATTGTACGAGAAAGCCGGTCCTGCTACCAATACGTGATAATCAGGTCGTCAACAATGTCGCTGGATCCTGGATGGAGGGCATCCCTGGTACCATCGGATATTTAAGCTATACTACAACTCAGATCGTGCTCATGCCATGGCTGTACGCAGGATAGTTCTCGCAACAAAGTCTCCGTATGTTTTACTAATATGTTTCGATAGTGAATTGAACAACACCTATATTTATGACAGGGACATGTTCTGCAACGAAACGATCACGAACTCCACACAGGGCTGCACAGTCCTTCGCAGCAACTACTACGCGCAAGACAAATCGGAAAGTTTCAAAGAGGCAAAGAACATGATTGAAGCTGGGGGGTCGATAGAGAGCGTCCTTGAGGGCGCCGAGCCAGGGATCGAGAAGCTCGTCAAAAACAACACCGCTGGAATGGAGAACTCCTTTGGTATCAAAGACGCAAGCCTCAGTGAGCAAATACCGATCGGGATACCCCGTGTAGGTTGGGACACAGGGCACAGCACTTTGCATCCTCTTGGCTTGGGCTCCAACTCTACATTTCTCAACAAATTCGGAAAACCGGGTGGACCTTCTCACGCGCATTCTCCTTATACTGGGGCAGCAATTGGAATTCAATGCCGATTAAGGGCCATGTGGTGATGGGAGGGTACGACAAAAAGAGAATCATCGAGCCAAATGTCACTGCACCCCTCAAGTACGGCGACTATTCTAAATCAGATGGGTGTTTCACCGGCATCAGAATTGTGATATCCGACATCACAGTTAATTTCACTGACGGTTCTAACAAGAGCATCTTCCCCAACAAGGACAAACTCCATGCTTGCCTTGCCCCCCAGCGTCCATCTTTATTGGAGCCCCCTCGTGAGTATCTTGACAAGTTTGAGGAGGTAACAGGCACAAAACATAACGGCAATACATCAAGTGGATTTCATTGGGGCGCGTGGATATATGACAGAAAACAATCGTAAGTTAACCTTCCTGGCTCTCCTTTGGCGTAGGACTAATGCCCTCTAGTTTCAAAGGCGATATGACTTTTCATCTCGAGTCTGGTCTGAAAATCCGAATCCCAAACACGCAATATATGCCACCTCATGTCTACCATGATGAAGATGGATCTCGTGTCATGGATACAAGTGCTCGGGAACTTGCCATGCCAGAGACCCTGAACGGAGTCCCCATGCTGGGAAGATACTTCCTCACCAGTGCGTACCTAATGGTTAATCACGATGTTGGAACATATACGTTGTGGGAATCCAATCAAAACACCTCGATTTGGAAAAATGATCTAGTGATGATAAAGGACGACGAGATTGCCGCCCAGTGCCCGGACAATGCGACGAAGCCTGTTGAGACCCCCAGTGTATCAACCACAGAAGTTATCCCTGAGAGCACCACGACCGTGGAGCAAACAGAATCGGGATCCTCTGTGGCATCTCCTGCGACAATTGGAGGATCGGTTGTTGGAGGTGTGATCGGAGCCGCTATCATCGCCCTGGCAGCGGCTTGGTTTATCCGCCGAGGTAGGGCGGCAGCTTCTGACGCACCTGTGGAAATGGGAGCATCCAGCGCCGCAGGAGAATATGATGACAGGAAGCTGATGCCTCCTGTATATGAAGCATATGGCTCAAGACCTGAGCCTGACGCTGAGATGATGGGCTCACGGCCATTGCCTGAAGCCGAGATGGTCGGCTCACAGCCACTTCCCACCGAAATGCTAGGGAACCTCATCTACGAGCTAGATGATAATACGGTTGGGACTGGTACAATGTTTGGAAGTCCAACAGTTGTGGGCAACCCGGACGAGCACTTCGAAAACAGGTCGGATTCGGACAGAGAAAGCATCTTGAGGACGGGGAAGCAATGAAGCGCATGCTGTATGTAGTAATATGAGTGTAAGTGTTGAAACCTGACGATAGATGTAATCAAATGGTTTTTGATCAGCCACATCTAATAAGATATGATAAGCAGAAACATCATCTTGGGTGAAGTATAGCGAGGCATTGAGATTAATTCCAAGACCCTTGAAAGCACCCGAAAGAGATATACCGAGAGATTGATAATGCTAGGGCTTGACGGTGATGGACCCGAAACCTGAAGTGTGTGATCCGGGAGGGCCACATTCCTCCCGCTCATATTAGGATCGACTTCCACGCTAGAACAATCAGGACTTTTTGTATTGCTTGTGACGTAATATGCTAGGAACATGAAGCAACCCATGTAGTGACATCTTGAGGCTCGTGTAGCACAAATGCCGATACAGGGCAGAAAAGTAGGGGGCTAAACTGGTGTCGTTGGCAGTGCCGACGGGCAATCGAGTTCCCATTGGACAGTTTCTTCTGAAATTCCTTGCCAAATGCCGGGCTGCCGGAAGATCTATTTCCTATTGGATTAGCCCAGCCCGGCTACTCCGCCTCACGATCCGCGCAGTATAATTGTGGACAGCTCAGGCCCATAACGCGCGTCCTTCCACGGTTCCAGTATCGCTTAGAAAGAATTCACCGAAGCATCAAAACATACTAGAACCCATCTTCGGAAGCTGAACGAGCTGGCGCTCAAATAGGAACACCATGCAACGTAATCAAACACAGCCCACAGCCTGTTCATGTCACTGCAACTCGGGCCTTTGTCCATATGTGGACATTTAGCGGTGTCATGAATCAACTGGCCTTGACAATATGGATGTGACATACGTACTCGTGAGGGTCCAAGAACTCAATTTTATGACTGCAATGCGGCAACTTATTAGTTCTATAAGAGACCCATTGTCTGTCGTTACTACTGCGTATTAGCCACTTGCTCTTCCCAGCAACAGTGTCACTATCCTTCCTCAAACAAAGAACATTTCATCCAGACTATTCCAATCATGCGCCGAGCAACATTGGGCGTTGCCGCATTGATGGCAGCCACTACCAATGGCGCTTCTCTCACCGACATCTGCTCCGTTTCAAAGATTCAGAGCGCTCTCCCAGCGGACGGCGATCTCCTCGGCATCGACATGGTTGCCTCCAGTGTCACAGCCAGCCCAGTCTATAATGCTACGACCGGTGGTGGTGGAGCCGGGGGTGGCGGCGGCGGCAGCGGAACTACCTACAACTACTGCAATGTGACTGTCTCATATGCTCATACCGGGAGGAGCGATACAGTCGTGCTCAAGTACGCATTCCCCGAACCGTCCAGCTTTAAGAACCGTTTCTACGTTGCTGGTGGAGGCGGCTTCTCCCTGTCCAGCGACGCTACAGGCGGTCTTGCGTATGGGGCTGCTGGAGGTGCCACAGACGCAGGATATGACAGCTTCAGCACCAGCTATGACGAGGTCGTTTTGTATGGAAACGGTTCCATTAACTGGGATGCAACTCACATGTTCGGGTATCAAGCCTTGGGTGAGATGACAAAAGTGGGCAAGGCAGTCACGAAGAATCTGTATGGACTGGACACCGACGCCAAGGTTTACACCTATTACGAGGGATGCTCCGACGGTGGAAGAGAAGGCATGAGCCAAGTTCAACGCTGGGGCGATGAGTACGATGGTGTCATTGCCGGCGCTCCCGCTTTCCGTTTCGCACAGCAGCAAGTGCTCCATGTCCTCTCCTCGGCCGTAGAGCACACGCTGGACTACTATCCTCCCCCCTGTGAGCTCGCCAAGATCGTCAATGCTACAATTTCTGGCTGTGACGCTCTTGACGGTCGAACAGATGGGGTGGTGTCCCGCACAGACTTATGCAAGCTCCAATTCGACTTGAAGTCCGTCATCGGCCAGTCCTACTCCTGCGCCGAGAAGAACTCGACCTCGCTTGGTTATGGATTCAACAAGCGGAGCGATGGCCTATATAAGCGACAGGCGCCAGGGAGCTCGACTTCTTACCAACCAGCTCAGAATGGAACCGTTTCTGCTGAGGGGGTTGCGGTTGCTCAAGCAATTTATGATGGTCTGTTCAACTCCGAGGGGCAACGCGCCTACCTCTCATGGCAGATAGCTTCCGAACTTGGTGATGCTTCTGCTACCTGGAACGATGAGACTAATGCCTGGGAGCTGAGCATCCCGTCCACTGGAGGAGAGTATGTCACCAAGTTCGTGCAGCTACTCGATCTCGATAACTTGTCCAATCTTGACAACGTGACATATGACACTCTTGTCGACTGGATGAATACCGGAATGATTAGGTATATGGATAGTCTGCAAACTACCCTCCCCGACCTTAGCCTCTTCCAGTCCTCGGGAGGCAAGCTCCTCCACTACCACGGAGAATCCGACTCCAGCATCCCGGCAGCTTCTTCAGTCCACTACTGGCAGTCAGTCCGGTCCATCATGTACCCCAAGCTGAACGACGAGGATGCGCTCAATGCCCTTCAGGACTGGTACCAATTCTACCTGGTCCCTGGTGCCGGCCACTGCGGAAGCAACAGCCTCCAGCCTGGACCTTATCCCCAGAACAACATGGACATCATGATTGATTGGGTGGAGAACGGCAACAAGCCCAGTCGACTGAATGCAACTGTGTCGTCTGGCACCAATGCGGGTGAGACTCAGATGCTTTGCCAGTGGCCCACGCGTCCCCTCTGGCAGGATAACAGCGACGAGTTCCAGTGCGTTGATGACCAGGAGTCTATTGATAGCTGGACCTACAGCTTCCCGGCATTCAAGATACCTGTATACTAAGATGTGGCGGCCTTGGTGTTTCTACAACATGAGCCAAACAAGCGGTATGAGGCGGATTAGAGTGATGAGGGGGGTTTCTCATTCAATATATTTCACGAATTAACCTTTTAATTTGTCTCTTTCTTGGGTTGGGATCTGAACATATGAACGTGGATGCATTCGTGTCGAAGGAGCATTTACCCTATAGTTGGAATGCCTCACAACCAAGCCAAGTTCTTAGTGGATAAATAGTATTATACAAATGATTTGCTTGAGTCTCAAACCAACTAGAATGGATTTTTGTCACTAATATCTACGGCACACACATCTTGCAAACCAGGAGCTGCTTGACGACACAAATAGCTCCAACGCGACTAACCCAAACGAACCTTGAAAGCGCGTTTCTGGAGGGCCCCGCCACAAATCATTTGTTTCTCAATATCCATTGGCGAGGACCGAATGTATGGGATGGGAAGAAGTGTTGCCACCCACGCTCCACGTCTTGCTCATTGCGATGGTGTTGCCTGAAGCTGGCGTGACACGTCGCGGTGGAGGGTGCTGTTGACGTGAAGAAGTTCACGAGCTGTGATCATCGTGATCATCATGTAGAGGGAACTTTGGCTGAATGGGGCACCAAATTAGGCAGAAGAACCCTGCTGGTGCAATTGAAAGGTCTTCTCAGCCCTGTCAGCTTATGTGCATCACTGAGAGCCACTTATTATACGCGGACCCCGGCACCTGAAACTAGGTGCTGAACTGTGGCGCCTGTCCGCTGTAGGAGTAGCTCAATCAGTGGGTGCTGGAGCTGGAGCTGCGGCTGCCTGGAATCAGCCTACTGCACCTCTCTGTCACGTTATGCGCTTCCATCGTGCCTTCCTTTGCTGACTCGTCGCGCAAACATAAGAAGCGGCCGTCTGGCCTCTTTCTCCTTGCCTCGGATGGCTTCATTCTTTGTCTTGCGGTCGCGCGCCTTCCAGCTCCAGAAGTCAATCGCATACCGTTGGAATTTGTGTCACGCGAGGCGGATTACAATGGCGTCTCGAACTCTCTATCCACTACCGGCTCCTCTCTCCGAGCTGCCCAAATACATCGCTCAGCATCCGGACCAGCACCTTGGCGACATCATTGATCCGTATCGCCGCTACGAGGCACAGTTGCGGACTCTTTACGCCCAGAGCCCTGAGGATCCTCTCCTTAAGGACCCCTACCTCAATGCGCTCCCGCTCTTTGCCGATGGAAATGGCGTCCCCATTGCAACCCGGGCTAGAGACTTGGCCTCTGAATCCGAAGAGGAGAAGGCAAAGTACATCATGCCTCTTCCAGAGGACAAGCGGCGGCCGCACGGCTCCCCTGCTACTGTAGGCGACATGGCGGAATTCCAGCACAATTTCAACATCTTCTCAGAACTCTCACTTTCGGACATGAACTGGGACAACGTGGTCGCCGCTGGGTCGTCTGTCGTCAACTGTCTTCTGCCTGTGCCTGAGCCTTTCAAGCAGACAAAGCGAACCCTGCGAGAGTATTACCATGAGAAGTTCTGCCCAGCCTCCGATGTTGACCTGTTCCTTTACGGCCTGAGCCATGACCAGGCGATTGAGAAAATCAAGCAAATTGAGCGCGCCATCAAAGACGCTCTTTTGAATGAAGTGACCGTGGTGCGAACGAAATATGCGATAACCATCGCCAGCCAATATCCAGTCCGCCACATACAGGTTTGTGACCCCCTCATCTACATACGGCTCGACCTCAGGCGGCCGCATGTCGGTTCGGATGCGATGGCTAAGTTTTTATTGACAGATTGTCCTGCGAGTCTACAAGAGTCTCAGTGAGATCCTGACGGGCTTTGACATTGATGCCGCTGGGGGCGCGTATGATGGAAGACAAGTCTATGTCACTCCTCGAGCTCTTGCTAGCTTCATTACCCAGGTCAACCATGTCGATCTCACGCGACGCAGTCCCTCCTATGAAAACCGTTTGTCCAAGTACTCACACCGCAATTTCGAGATTTACTGGCCTGATCTGGACCGTTCGCGTGTTGACCCGACCATCTTTGAGAGGAATTTCAAGAGGACCCTTGGTCTTGCTCGCCTTCTGGTTCTGGAGCGGTTGCCCACAAGGTCATCAAGGGATGAGTATTTGGACAAAAGGCGCAAGGAGCGAGGAAGACCAGCCATCAACCGGGGATATATCTTCCAAATGGGAGGAAACATCAAGGACGATCATGAAGATGAGGTCGCCGAGTGGGAGTACGAGGAAGAAGCGAGCAGCTATACCACCTTCACGGTACCTTACGGAAAAAGATATAATGCTAAACGCATCGAGAAGCTTTGCTATACGCGCGACCTGCTGCTCAACGCCGAGTGGAATCAAAAAGACGACCACCGCAAGGTTTACCTTCATCGGCACCCCGCCTTCTTTGGTCGAGTGAAGGATGTGGTTGAGGATTGTTGCGGTTCATGCCCAAAACCAACCACTGATGAGGAGATCGAGGTTGCGGAGAAGGAATCCAAACGATATGTCTCTGGCAAGATGGATTTTATCGTTGATGATCCCGGAAGACAGGAGATTGGATCATTCAATCCATTAACAGAACAGGACTGGACTGATATGGCCTATGTCGGAAACACAGCCCGCCTCTGTCAGTCGATTGTTGATGGTGATGTCGATGAGGTCAAAGACTGGCTGTCGCAAGATGGAGCGGACGTTGATCAGAGGGACCACACGGGCCGCACACCACTTCAGCTAGCTGTTGTTTCATCCACGCCAGAGATTGTACAGTGCCTGGTGGACAGCGGTGCCCGTATGATTTCTCGGCTAGCCGATGGTAGGACCGCACTACATCTGGCGGCTTCTCGTGGCAGTTCGGACATTATCAAAATCCTCATGGAGAAGAGTCTCCAAAATGAACAAGCAGACGAAGAGAGGAAGGATAAGCAAGCCACGACTGGAAAGAACGCCACGCCCATAGCCAACGACGCTGACGAGTCTGATATCGAACTACTTGATAAACCGGACAGCGATGATGATGAATCTATGGCGACGGAATCTTTTGTCAAGATCCGAAATGACGAAGATGAACACAAAGATTTGGATGGGTCTGCGGAAGATCCGGACATCTTTAATATCGATGTCCTGGCGTGGGATGTTCCTTGCTCTCCGCTGCACCTGGCTATTGTTGCTGGACACGAGGATGCTGTTAAGATGCTCTGCGACTATAGCGCAGATTCTATTCTGCCAGTGAAATTCTTTGATCGCTACAATAATGAGCAGAGCACCGCGCTCCTGACATTGACACTGGCATTGACGCTTCCCTCAGCGAAGGCCAAGTCTATGGCTCAGTTGCTCTGTACCCTGGGAGCAACTTCTTCCCAGGCGGAGAGCAACGGAACAACAGCTTTTCATCGATATGTGGCGAGCGGTCAGTTGGATATGGTAGACACGCTGCTGGAAGCTGACCGCTCAGGTGTCAAGAGGGCAATAAACCACTTTCTCATCACTGGTTCTAGCTGGAGCCCGTCTACTATTTCGGCTTTGCACACCGCCATTGAACAAGGCGACTCGATTCTTGCTCTCAAGCTTCTGAACATGGGAGCTCAGCCCACCATCAAGTTTGAAACGTGGCTCAAATCTGCCAAGTTTTCGCTCGCAATGGCGGACTCTCTTGGCGATCTGGAGGGAAGCAAGAATTCCTTCCGATCGCGGGTCCAACAACCACTGCTCAGCGCAATCTACAACGGCCAGCCAGCTATTGCGATGCAACTTTTAGAGTCAGGGGCGAATCCGAACACTCTGACCACCGAAACCGAGGATCTTCTTATTCACGAGCATAGACGACCCTATTCCACGGGTAGTAGTGTACTGGACGTCGTAAACAATTTTCTTGATCAGATAGATGAGAAAATACAGACGGAAAGCCGATCCAAAAAGCCTACCGAGCCACCAAAGGGCCCTAAGAATACGGACGCGTGTCTCAGCAAGTACACTCCTGGAACTTACCAGCATTGGGTTGTGTCTGAGCAAATCAAGATATCCAAAAAGCGATTTCTCAAGAAGATGGAAGAATACGAGAAAAACATGGCCCAGGCCGCATCTAGAAAAGATGATAGTAAGGAAGATGCCTTGAAAGATATCAAACCGGCATACCAGAACCTCGGAGAATTACTGAAATCCAAGGGAGCTAAGCCCTTTGCCGAGCTTCACCCCGATGTGAAAGGCCCAGACAACGACCAACGGTACAGACCAGTCCGGTATAGGACATCAGAAGAAGAGGAGGAGAAGGATTTCGATTGGGAATTTTGCTTTTATGGCGACCAGGACATTACGGACGCGAGGAAGACAGGCTACCTCAATTTGTGAGTTCAGGACATGGCTTCATTCTTGCATCCCCACCTTCATTATCTATCCTTTTTTTCACTTTGCCTCATGTTTTCATCTCATCCATATGCTAACACGATATTTTAGGATGGAGGCCGCGTGGGCCGGTGATGTCGAACGTCTGAGAGCCCTGACCCTCCACCCCTTGGGCCCTAACAAAGACCAAGCCCCTCTCAAGATATCGGTATTGGATAGCCAGTCGAACAATGCGTTTTCTCTTGCGTTCCTCCGAGGTCACTTTGAAGCAGCCAAGGTTGTTCTAGAGATAGTGAAATCGCAGTGGGCTCCACAGGAACAACCAAAGATGCAATACAAGATGAGGGAAGATGCCGAGGACGACGAAGAGGATGATGAAATGAGCGAGGACGAAAACGAGCTTCAAATCGTCGGCGAAAAGGCCAATGGGAAGACGACAATTGATGATATTGGAGTTGTTTCAATGGTTGTCACCTCCACGACTAAACCACACATGATGATCAATTATCAAGTGTCTCGTTTCATCATAAAGGAGGATGGCCAGGCTGAGGGATTCGATCAGGGTACTCTTTTCCGGCATTGCTTCAAGCACGATGATCGCCAAGGAATGCAGTTTCTGATTGAGCAAGCTCAGTATTGGATTTCTCAGAAGTATGATTCTGCAAAAGTCAGTGCTGGCGATAAGGAGGATGAAGAGATGAAAGAATCAGAACATGAAGATGACGAGATGCAAGAAGCTCTCGATGAAGATAGCGATGCTAAGAAGAACAAAGAAGAAGAAGAGGGAGAACAGCCTAGCGTTTTCCGGTTTCCCGAAGCTGATCTCCAGTACGGAATCAGGAAAGGAAAGACCGAGTTACTCGGGCTCCTCATTGCACAGACGGGAGCTGGCGTGCCGTTGGAGACTCTCGTGAAGGAACTCGATTTGGCGGAGAAGAAGAAGCCCAAATACTATCAAGGACTGACAGTCTACGGGAAGAAAAGGTAACACAAACAGCTTATCGCATAATGCTTCCAAACACGTCGGTCATACTAACGTCATTCAGATCGGATTGGGCCAACGCTGGCCGAGAAACGGTGGTTGAAACGAGAAGCGGATTGAGTTACAGCCCATTGCGGTGTGCTGCCCGTTCCGGTTCGATTGAAAGTGTCAGGTACTTCCTCAGTGACAAGCCGTACCAACTGTATTCGGCTTTTGGATCATCAAGTCTTGCGATCAGAGATCCGTATATTCAGCTTTTAAACAAGGTTCCTGACGGCTACAACCGTGCTATGTTGAAGTGGCTTAAAAGTGACCGTACGCCAACCCCCCAATGCTTGAGAAACGTCACTCTGATAAATGCTGACTAAATTATGCGAAATAGGTGACTCCGTCATGCACGATGCTATAGAGTGCTCGGATTTAGAGAAGTCGGAGAAACTAGTCAATTTTCTGATTGATGTTTGTCCTGATGTTCTGGAGAAGAGATCCTCCAACGGTTACACCCCATTGATGTCTGCCTGTTGGAATCGAAACGTCGAAATCATGAAGATCCTTATCGCGGCAAACGTGGACCAATCCGTCCGCCTCGACACTGGACACAATATCTTGCACGTTGCTCTAAGCCAGAAGCAGGATGTCGACACCCTCCGCCAAGTTTTGGACCTCATCGATCCAGCCTTGCGGGCACATCTCTTCCAACAACGGAAGAGATTGACACAAGGTGGCACTGCGCCCATTCATTCCTGGATCTCCATGGTCTGTGGCCAAGGCGGGAATACCACATATGATTATTCCAGCCGCCGATGGCACGACTACCACGGAGAGTGGAAGGACGTAGCCCAGATTCTTAACCTCCTACTCGAATATTCCAATGGCGAAGGACTGGAGCTTCTCAATGGCGCCGGGGACACTCCTCTCCATACAGCTATAATGTATCGTCATATTGTTCTCGCCAGGGTGCTCATTAAGTTTAAACCTGAACTTCTCTACCGTGAGAACGCCGTCGGTCGCACACCCGCTGAGATGGCATACGACAATCTAACTGCATCTCAGCTGGTCAAGCCGAATACCTTGGGTCTGGTCTATACGGGCAACTCGATTAACCACATCATACAGCGCATGGAAATCCCTAAGAATGACCATACCGAAGATCTGTCCAGCACCAATGTAGCAGCCAGGCTTAGTGAGGCTGGCCTCGGTGGTGAATACAAGCCAGAGATGGTGGAGAAGATTTTGACGGCCGCGGGTCTGAATGAAAATGATAAGGGCCTCGACATTGGCAGTGATCTTACCGAGAGAATAATCTGGGACCTCTGCAGCACAGCCGTCAGGAACAACCCTCATCATCGTCGGCTTGTGTCGCTTAATGAGGCAAACGATGTTGCCCGCAGGCTGAGTGAGGAGCATAGTATCCAGAGATATTGCAGTGATCGGCCCAGCAAGGTCGAAGACGGCAGCGAGGATGGCCATCCTGGGGAATGAGGAGATTTGAAGGCCTAACTCCATGATTTCTTTTTGTAGCTATAGTTTCTGTTGACGACTGTTGTCCCTCTGTCAATAACTATCCCTCTGTTGATGACTATTGTCCCTCTATTGACGACTATTGTCCCTACATCAACAGACAATAAACCATCTCCCTTATTTCTAATTGTCAAAGTCTAGACAATAAATTTGTGAGTTCTATTTACAAGTCATTAGAGCGGCACTAACTACTAGGACACTTCCCACATCACTTTCTGAGGGCACTTTCGAGGGATAAGGAATAAAATTAAACTTCTATCCACTACATATACCAGAAAATATATCAGAGCCATAACGTCCTAAGCAAGGTGGAATGTTCGTCTGGTGACTCTGAACTAATCACAAATCCCCAGGCATAACGAGAAGAAGAATCTCGCTTCTTATTTCTTGCTTCTCGTGATGCAAGGGCGGCGAGTCGCGGTGGTGGAAGAAGATGTAGGAGCACTGGTTATTGTAGCTGTTGGCTGCGAATCTGTGGTGGTCACAGTGCAAGGATCGGCCGCCGGTCCAGTCTTCAGCGTGAGAGCCTCACATCCGTCCAAAACAGTCGACCCGTGCCTGAGAAGATCTGAGCCACAAGTGTAGAACTTGTCCTTTTCACCCGACTTGCAGCTCAGGACATTGTTTGACGTGGTGCATTCAAGATAAGACCATGCGCCGGAGATCTTGGACGCCGGATACATGTAGACAAGGCTGTTGCTGTTAGTGTGTACAGCCATATAGACAGTGTTCCCGCTGATTGAAGTCTCCAACCGGCCCTCACTGTTTATCTTCCAATCAAAGTGAGTGGACTGGCTGTCAGCAAGATCAACTGCCAAGAAATCAGAATACAGATAGAGCTCATGCTCAGCTGATGCCTGACCCGAGGATGATCCCTTGACGGAGATAGGTTTGGCGTAACCCGGCGTGCAAACAGGGGCAGCAGTCGTTGACGAAGTGATCGCAGAGGAAGTCGTCGCAGAAGGGGTGATGGTTGTTGACGTGGAGGACACTGAGGGGTCTCTTGAGATGCTGAACCACGGTGAAAGCTTATACTGCCAGTCCGTGATGTTATTGTATTCACCGAATGTTCGCAAGGTTCTGCAGAGATATCTATACTCGCCATCGGGGATGTAGGAGCCATTGGCGAAATAGCCCTGAGAAGCTGCATAGAAAGCGGCACCGGGTTGACGGGGATAGTTCTGGAGAGGGAAATCGACCACGCTTCCTGATAGTCCATTAGGGCGCATACGGACTGACCCGATCCAGTTGTTCTTTCCAGCCACGTTTGGATATACCCAGTCGCTGGGCTGCCAGTCTCGTGTGACGAACTATTGCAGCCGGCATCGTCAGCTATGGTTCACTGAACGGAGATGGCCAAAGAAATATAAACTTACATCAAAGCTCAGCTCCCTCGTATTCCACAGAATGTTGAAATATGGTTGCGGAACATCTGACCCATCTTCGTAGGTGTAGACATGGCCTTCTTCCATCACGCCTCCATATCCGCTCAGGAGCAATGGGACGCCCCTGTCCATTTCCCAAACTTGAGCATCGTATATACTGCCTTTGATGCCTGTTGAGAAATAAGACTTGTTAGACGTACATTAAATGGCCTGTGGAAAGAGACCAGTGGAGAGAAAGCTTACCCAGGTATGTTAGCATAACAACTTCGCCATTTGACCCGCTGATCATAACCTTGCCACCATAAACAGGGAGAAAGGAGCTGTCAGGGCCAGCTGGCTCAGTGAAATCAAATTTGAGTGTGACTGAAGCTCCAGCATCCAAAACAACCTCTTCAGCGGACATCGATACCTTGGCTACGTCGTCTTCTGCGGTTGAATACTGAGGCTCCAAGGCAACCCAAGCGTTAGCTGAAGTGAATGTGGAAGTTGTGATGCCAGGTTGATGTGTCAGTTTGTAAGTTACGCTGTCGTCGTTTGAATTCGTGAGCATGACTTCGTGGCTGCCCGAGAAATGCACCGTATCGTTGAGCTCCAGGTACGCGGGACTAATCGAGGTGCCAGACTCGATAATCTTCTGGACGTCGATGAGCCCAGCGCCCTGCTTGCCAACAGATGCTTCGTTTCCGGAGCCATCATTATGCTTAATCGACCTCGCACTGGCAATAACACGATCGCGGGCTACTTTGACGCTGTTCTCTCCCAGGGCTTCGCGGCCGCCTCGAGAGGAGAAGAAGAGTGCACCGACACCTGCCATATACGGAGCAGCCATGCTGGTACCCGAGAGAACGGCCCAGCTACCCTTGCTAACGGGGTACGTCGATAGAATGGTACCACCGGGGGCAGAGATTTCCGGCTTCATTCTGCCATCGAGAGTAGGTCCCCAGGAGCTGTAGTCGTTGATTCTACCTCCGACATATCCTGACTTAGGAACGCCCACTGGCTCAGAACTTGTAGACAAGTTAAGAGTCACGTTGTGGCCAGCCTCGAATTGTTTCAGAATCCAGTCTCCGTCCTCATACAGTACAAGTGCCGCTGTAAGGTCATTAGTTTGGGGATTTGAGGGGGGAGGAGAGGTAGGAGAGTTTGGCGAACAACGTACAGTTTTCGGGGGCATCAACGCTGCCCCGGACACGGCCCGGACGCTCCAGACCTACTCCTTCTTGCTGGATGTAGAAAACACTGGATGTTAAGCCTATCAAGGTACTGTCTTGAATTTGCCAAACACAGTCTCCCTTTCTGCTCACTTTAATTAGGCAATCATATCCATTGATCACAGATTCAAGAACGTTCTCATACCTAATGAATAAGGCAGTGTCCTTTGGGGTTGAGCCCAGAGACCAACTACAGGCATCGACGTCCCGTGCATTTGGATATGCATAAGCCTGGACGCTTCCATCAAGGGTGACATGGTTATAATTGTCGCTGATGTATGTCTGTATTTATGTTAGGCTTATCAACGATCGCTAGAGAGACACGGAATATGTCCATCACTTACCATGGATCTTGTCTCATTGCTTGTCGAAATGGCGGTGATATTGTATGTTACCCAGTTCTGAGCCTCTGCACTACCTACCGCAAAACTTTCCAAACCGTTTCCACCGCTACTACTGTAAAAGGAACCTAAGTAACATGGTTAGCGAACCTACAACCGACAGAAGGGGAGTCAGATTTGCAACTCACCATGATCTCCGCTATTTCCCGCAGCGACAGACACAAAGACGCCTTCTGCGGCGATTTTGCTCACGACGATGGCAATCGGTTGTTCTGTAAATCCCCGATCGGAGCCCAGAGATGCATTAATAACGTCAGCTCCCTCTTCGTGGGCCTGGATGAATGCAGCAATGATGACATCCTCATACGTGCCATCGTCGCAGCCAAACACTTTGTATGAGCGAAGGCGTGCCTCTGGAGCAACTCCAGGTATCAGGGCATCACTACTTGCAGCAATGCCGGCAACGTGGGTTCCGTGACCCAAACAATCCATGGGATCACTGTCAGGGGCATAAGGGCCACCGACAACGTAGTCATCGCCTACCAAGTCATAGCCAGACTCGACACGGAAGCCAGCTCCAAAACCTCCACCGAAAGCCGGGTGTGTGTAATCAATACCACTGTCGACAGTAGCGATGATGATACCCTTCCCGCGATGGCCCTTTTTGTGCATGGCCGCGACGTTTGTTTCGTTGTGTGCGTTCCAAACAGAGTAGCTGGCAAGGGCCTCACTGTCTACGGACGATGCCTTGCCGAGAACGGGAATGGAAAAGACGGCAGCTGGCCATATCTTCTCAACCTCTGGCAAAGACTGAATTTCTTCGACAGACTCTTCACTAGGATGAGCCAAATCGAACGAAGCCCCCTCGAACAAGGTTGACGAAAAATTCAACGCAGGAGTCACATTTTGCCCAGAGTCGCTGAGAGTCGAGAAGAATTCGGAAGTGTCCTGAGCAAGAGACCACATCACTTTGTCAGCCACATGATAAAACATCTAGTGAATGAATAACATACAGCACTTCCATCTCGTTTCTTAAATCGGGCAGCTCCCTGAGAAGAGAACTGGACAATATATCTCAATGGTTGGTCAGGATATGTTGCGGAACCCAGAGAGCCATCAAGGACAGATTCTCCCAGAGAAGAATCTGGGAATACCAGCAAGGGGAGGAGGAAGACCAAAGATAGCGGACCATGCATCGTTGCTTGGGCCTCCTTTTGCAGGAGTATCTATAGCCTGAATATTGACGGATATGCACGAAGAGAAGTCAAATACTCAGCGGAATCGTCTACATTTTATCCCGTACGTCTACCTTTTGTCCCGCAGATTGGGTGACATTGCCATTACCCGCCCTAATGCCGATAGGCCATGTCATGTCAAGAATTGTGGCCTTGATGAGAAGGATCTAATCAGATAAGATTGGCCGGCAGGAGATAAGATGGATTTCATCGAATCGGCTTCCGATCGGAGAGCCAGGAACATCCTCAATGGTGCCGAGCGAGCCTTACCGGGTTGGCCGGGATGATGGAGCTGGTAGGTAGAGGCAATGAGATATTTACGAGCCATTCCGTCACCTAATTTGATCGTTGACAGGAAACGGGGCCATGTGAAGTGGCCCCTGTCGTAATATATGTTGGATAACAAACGAACCACCTGGCCGGTCCAAGGAGCTTCCGGAAATGATTACAGCCTGAATCCGGTTCGGTTACATCGGCCCCTTGCGTTAGTCACAAGAACCAAGCTTGACCGCCTGCGCGTCAAAGAAGCTTATACGCGCGTATTTGCTGTATCCCAGCAGTGAGTGGTTTTAGAGGTTCTGTCCAACTTTTACATGCCTGTTTTGATATTACACCCGCTTTTGGATCCGCCAAACAGGGTTTTGTCACCTTTTATTGACTTCAATACCCGCTGAACCGTGGCGTGACAGATGCATCAATTTCCCAGATTTGGCCGGTATCGGATCTGGATTGACTTGGTTCTCTTAATCAAGCTTGGCAATGACATCCCAGAGCGAATTGTGACCAGCACCTGATTCATGTTTCTTTGTCATAGATCATGGAGCCGATTCGACTTGAAATACGTTCAAGGAAGAATCGTGGCTATGCTCGCAGAAGCAGGGATTGTTACATCAAGCAGTTGACACTTGGGATCGGCCAGCTCTACCGCATCTGATGTGAATTTGAGAAAATGATTAGATCGTCTCTGTCCAGAATACATAATCCCTTGAATTTCCATGCTAGATGGGGTTGAATCAATTTTTCTATGGAGAGAAGGCTGCGGTCAAGCCCCCAGTGCAGATTCCATCCATCTCTCATTGTAGCGCGGATCTAGTTCCTTCTTACAGCACTTTCACTTCCAATATGATTCACAATGGGTAGCGGTACCTCATCTGCTGAACGGGTAAATTAGTATCAAAAAGTTTTCAATGCCCGCCCTCACCTTACACCTGCGAATATCTGTAGGTGAACCAATCAAGCACTTGCTGTAGAAATAAGAGAAGATGTTGAGTGGCGTTGGATAGGTATATTTCATCACAGACCATTGCAATGTCACACTGGTTTCCAACGCCGAACATGTGTCACGTGGCAGCCGCGGCCTATTTCCGACTCGACTGGCTGGTTCAGGGTGCAATACAAGCCCGAGAGCAACCAAGTCTCATTCAATACGCTATTCAAAGTTAGTACCCCACCATAAACTACGGATCTCAATTGTAAAGCCGTTGCGTGCTTTCAATCAGTCGCACCCCTGACTGCCTGTAGACTGTGCTAGACAGATGTAGGGAAAGGAAAGCCGCTAATAATTAGTAATAAGGCACAATCCTCGTGGGGGAGCACACTGGTGTTCTTTCTGTTCTAGAGCGTATAAGATGAGCCTGTCAGCCCCCACTTGGAGCAGCGATGGTCTAGATTCATTGTCCCACGTGAGCGTCGAGTCAGCCTGTCCGCCGGGCCTGATGCCATTGGAACTTTCTTCCAGGCGATTTTAGATCCAATTGAGAACGACTCCCTCGCTGAAATTGACGATGCTGAAAGCTCAAGGCTATTTGTGTCACCAAGAGATTGGCAGGGATGGAAGAGGATCACCCGCTGAGAGACATTGTCCCTGAAAATGACTAATTGTCGGTTTCTCCTAGCCCAAGTCTAGTCCAACCAGCTGGTTCACTAACGAGGCCATCAAAGATCTAGTCCCTAGGTCCCGAGACGGCGTGGCGGCCAGGGCACGTTTGCACCATTTTCGTTCGCGTTGCGACATTATAACCAAGAGTCTCAACCAAAGGGGAGCTCCCCTTCCCCAGACTTATGCTCGAGCTTTCAGTGTGACACTCTCTCTCCCTTGTCAGCTGATATTGTGACCTCCTGTCTGACAAGATCTACGATGGGCCTGGGTCGATCCCCTGGCGTATAGCTGGAGACGGCTCGCGGATCACGGCATCTAGCCCCCAATCAAAGCTGAGGCCGGGTCTCAACTTGATGCTTGCCTCGCGCCTAGACCTCCCCCACGTCCTTGGCCAGTGGCGGTTCCTGGCCTTCCCCACGTGTGCAATGGATAGCTCGCAAGGCCAGCCCATCAGGTCGCCGCTATTTGCACTCCTCGTCGCGTATGAGACGATCTCCTAACAATTAATTCCCTGCCCGAATTATGTGGGTTTACGAACTATTAAATACCGTGTCTCTCCCGTCCCATTGGAGATCTACCATGCCGCGATCTCCTGTCAATCGACCACATTTGTTGCTCCATTGTACTCGGCGGCAGAGATGTTTACTCAGCCACTCAGCCTCCTGGCGGCTCTCATCGCCGTGGGTGACTTGGCCGCCGCCATCCCCGTCGATTCACCAGCTTCTCTCGAGGTCAGAGACATGCCCCGGCCGCGCTTCGGGAATGTTCCGTATGGTGTCGACATCACTACCTGCACCGTCAAGGGCAAGGTTGCGCTCTCTTTCGATGATGGGCCCGGCGAGTACACCACGAAAGTCCTCGATACCCTTGAAAAGAACGGCAACATCAAGGCGACATTCTTCCTCGTCGGCTCCAGCGGGAACGGCCAAACCGGCATCTCCAATGCTTCGTACGCGTCCGTGTTGAAGCGCATGTTCAATGCTGGCCACCAGCTCGGCAGCCACTCGTGGAGCCATCAGAACTTTGACGCGATCTCCCAGCAGCAGATGAGAGACGAAGTGTTGAAGAACGAGGACATATTCTCCAAGACTTTCGGTGTCATCCCTACGTACTGGAGGCCTCCATATACCCACTGCAGCGCGCCTTGTATTTCTATTCTGAATGAATACGCCTACCATATTGTAAGATGAATGCCCTTATCTGAAATATTGAATGCTCCTAACAATGCAATAGACGGACTTCAATATCGACACAAGGGACTGGCAAGATGGTGGTGTCAACGCGAAACAGATCTACTCCGGTATCATCAAAGGCAGTAATCCCACCACCGACAAGTGGATTTCTCTCGCCCACGACATCCACCCTTTCACGGCCGATGGATTTGTACAATACATGATAGACGTCGCGAAAGAGAAGGGGTACCAGTTTACCACCATCGGCGATTGCCTTGGTGACCCCTCATCGAATTGGTACCGTGATCCCAAGACTGGCGGGCCTTGGGGCGGACTCAGCGGTGATTCCAAGTCCAGCACGACTATCAAGTCCGGATCTTCCACCAAGGTCGAGGCGAGCTCCAAGTCACAGGCTCCAACGACAACCTCTTCATCAACAACGGTGGAAGCAAAGGCAACATCTTCCAGCACCCTCTCGCAGATGACGAAGACTAGCGTCACTGTGAGTTCTTCTCTAGACAGTCGTGGGACTCAGACCGCTTCGACTACGAGCACCTCTACGAGTGCCACCACTACAAGACCTCCGGTCACGTCTGCCGCTGCTGAAAGCGCCAACATGAGCTTGGAGCCGGTTCACTCAACGACGACGGCGACTTCGGCCTCTGCTGTCTCTTCAACCTCTTCCAAACCCAATTCTGCTGGCAGAGCCGTATTTTCTGTGCCCGGCGCCATCGCAGGTCTCATAGCTTGGTCTGCAATGATGCTGATATGAGCACATACCAACTGTGAGCTTATGGACGATGGATTAGTTTTAATATTTGTGAAACGATTAATAGAGGGATGATTTATGATTCTGTCTTTGCATATTACACGGAGTGGGATAGAATAGGCGCACTGCAAAGAGCATAAAGAGGTTAACGAATACGCATAGAATACTTTGAAAACGATTCCCCCTGCCACGGAATGCTCAGCTTCCGGGTTTGTGACCTTCCCCAAATAGTTTGGCTGTACCACTAGTTTCATAAGAAATTGCGATTCTGGCGAAATAAGAGTCACTAGATGGCAATAGCGTCTCCTTTGTATTCGTATTCATACTAGCCCAACAGCAATACGCGTACCCCAGCCTATATATAAATTCGGCCTTAATTACTCCTTGCAGAGTATGGATCGTGGCGATCACAGGGCTAACATTCGGAACACTGACAAATTGGCGGCTCTAATGATGAAAATAACAAAAGTGCTGATCTTAGGTTTTTCATACTAATTTTATGCTCGGCCCTTTCAGCCTCTTAATTCTTTGTGCCAGCGTATGAACCCCTTCAAATATTTATTCCGCGGTAGTTAAAACATCTATTTGAGACCATCTCCTTGGGCGTATTGGCTGTCTAAGAAAAGTTCTTGCACTATCCGCAGATATGTATGGCACCTTGATTACGTGTTTCAGATGTCGCGAGCCCATTTTCTCATTTTTGGAATTTGCAAGTTGCTGAGCATTGGTGATGAGATGTCGAATCTGACAGCCGTTCATCAAGTCCTTGGCCAAGTCGTCCAAATGGTATATTTCTTCTACAGGTCGATGTCCATGTATTAGTTCTATAATCCAAACCGAGCCATTCCATTCTTACCCCCTAAAGCCCGTCACGTCACTGTGAAGGGAAGTGTACATTTTCATCGACCTAAACGAGTTCTCCCTAGGGCTTGCTTCTGGGCCTTTTAGGTCTTGTTGGCTTTTGTTGGCTTTCTGCATTTAATTATTTATTTAATAAGCTAGCTGCTTGAATATTGGAATTTGACACTGGAGTTTTACAACGCAAGTACACCTTTTGCCCCGACTCTCGATTTGATTCGGAAACACGACCAAACCCGCGTCGAAAAGCAAAAGGCACAACAGCACGATATGAAAAAGAATGCGACATGCAAAATAGCTCTAAGTCTCTACGCGATTTGGATAAAATAACGAAACCTTCTTGTAACATTGCTTGCGTAGTAGCACATGACGTGATAATAAGGAGATTGCTTGTATGAGATGTATAGGGTAGGCTGAACCCCTGTGCGCAGACGCGTTGTGATATTCCCTGTTGGTCGAATCATAATATCGGTACGTATTTGCGGAATTTGCCGTTCCTTCTTGATCGTTTGGCCGTTCGTCTGCTCTAATTCAATGGCAGAACTCAAGGGCAGCTTGATTCACCTCTCCCACTGTTCATTCACCTGTCAGCAATTATCCAGTGCCCTTCTTCCAATCAATCACTGATTAGAGAAACATTCTCGCGTGATGATTGAAGCAGGGCCCACAAGAAGTGTCCACCCTCCTTCATACGATTGTACCCAAATGGGCGAGAACTCACACGTGTGAGCTTGACTTTGCAGTCGCTCTGCTCCACGGGCATCCTGCCGGCCAGTTGACGCACGTGCTGTTCTATTGTCGCAAGACGTTTTCACAGCCATAACCGCACAGAATGGTCCAGGTAGTCGACGACGACTACGTGTTGGTCTCGTGGGAAGACACAGACAGCCTCGCGTCGCATGATGACGCACCAGCACCCCCTCTTCTTCACCCCATCAGCGACATTGTCGACGGCTTGACTGAGCAATTCTGGCCCGTGAATAGGAAAATCCACGATCACCCGGAGCTGAAGTTCCGAGAGCACATCGCCCACGATGCTCTGACGGAGTACATGCGATCCCGCCCTGGCTGGAGCGTGACGCCTTCAGCTTACGGCATGGAGACTGCCTGGGTCGCTTCCTATGATACCGGCCGTCCTGGCCCGGTCGTTTCCTTCAACGTGGAAATGGGTGAGACGCACTAGATTCATTGCCTCTATTAAAATTCACCTGCGCTGACTAGATCTGCCCCTGGCAAGATGCTCTTCCTGGGATAGGCCATGCTTGCGGACACAACCTTATTGCTACGGCTTCAGTCCTCGGGGCGGTTGCTGTTTCAGAGCTGATGAAGCAGAACCTGATCCCTACAGGGAAAGTGGTCGCCTTTGGGACCCCGGCGGAAGAAGGTGAGTGTTTTATTTGCGATCCTGGCAAAGGTTCTCAATTGACGATTCCCAGGTGGCGGCGGCAAAATCAACCTCTTGGAGGCTGGAGCTTATTCTGACCATCGGGTCGACATCAGTTTGATTTCGCATCCAGACGCGAGTGCGAATGCTGCCCTAATGAAGACCACGGCCACGCATGGATTCAAGGCCGAGTACTTTGGTCGGGAAGCCCACGCGGCTGCGAATCCTTGGCTAGGGATAAACGCTCTCGATGCCCTCATCTCTGCCTACAACAACATCTCCATGCTGCGGCAGCAAACGATGCCCGATGATATCATCCAAGGCTATATTTCAAATGGGGGCAGAGCTGCGAATATCATCCATGCGTATGCCGCCGGGACTTTCACTGTTCGAGCCAAGAACTCTGCCCGTTTGGAGGAGCTCACGAGCAAGGTCGACGCCTGCTTCAATGCTGGAGCCCAGGCGACGGGCGCAAAGTTGGTTGTCACCCCTCGAAGAGGCTACAAAGAACACATTCCGAACCGCATCTTGGCCCAGTCTTATACGAAATATTTCAACGCCCTGGACCCTCCTGATAAAATTCTGGTAGATCAGGATCAGGATGAGATTCGCGGAACCACAAAGGCAAGCACCGACCAGGGAGATATCAGCTACGCCATGCCGAGCCTGAGCCCTGTTTTTTCCATCGTACCAGGGCCGAATGGGATGGGGCCACATAATCCTGAGTTTGCGGAGGCCGCGGGGACAAAGGACGCATTTCATCGGGCGGCGAGGGTGGGAAAGGCCCTCGCCGGAGTCGCTGCTGATATCCTCACGAACCAAGACCTATTGCGTCAAGTCAAACGGAAGTGGAGGGACGATTTGGCGGGCCCTCACAAAAATTAGTGGTTGTTCCTATATAAGAGTCAGTGTATGACCATTCATTGCCTTCAAACATCGCTCACTGGAACCAAAGTGTTCACAATCTCGCACCCTTAAAGGTGTATCCTTCTGCTACCTGCACAACAACTCTAACATTCTGAGTATTTTTATTCCTTTCCGCTTCTTCTTACCATGATAATTTCCTACCTATGGATCAGACTTGCCGATGCTGTAGCTCACTTCCCTCGAGGGTATTAGTGAACAAGCCAACGCTGGCATCTTCGAGAGGTGGCCCAAGTAAGTTTGCTATAAGTCTCAAACGGGACTCATGGATTCCTAGACAAGGACGGATCTTGGATCAGCATGTGAAAATCTCCAGCCAATCTATGTACTGGCTGAGCAATTGCAATCGCAAAAATATGCATTGACGGAGAATATGTGAGCATTGTCCAGCGCTCTCTGACGCCACAGATTGCGCGCGTCGCACGGTACCCGCGGAATAACTCTGGGCGGACCATTTCATGCGTGATTACGCCTAATGCCCCATTGAAAAAAGTACCTTTTTGTCTTCTAGATTCGCGACGTCAATGTAGACGTTGTGGGGTGCTGGATGTGATGATCCACCAGCTCGAACACATAAATCGCCCAGCCGGCTTGATAGACTCACGATTTGCAGTCAATTGGGGACATGTAATGAATGGAGTTCAACAGAGGCAAGAACAATTGAGTCTGATCCGTGACTGATCTTTTACCAGCGGTGGCATTTTCTTCCAAGTGATCATCCGAGTTGTGTGAGAGTGGCGGCTCCGCGGAAGCCGACAAGCCTCCAATGCTCATGCTTTGCTGTCCTAGCTTTGCTGTCCTAAATAACTGATCGTATTTGATTTCTGAAATCTTTTCAGGGTCTGCATCTTTGTTTCTTTCTTGTTCTTGTTCTTCTTATTCGTTTATTTCGATTCCAATCTTGCATCGTCTTGCCCCCTTGCTACCCACGCTCGTTCTACAGCCTTCCACATCTACTTTGCGAGTGCATCACCGGCCCATCCAATTCACGACGGTTAGCCGACATGTCTAGAAATGAATATGAATCGTACGCCGAACGTGAATACCAGATGGACGACATGTCCGGCGGTATGAGCGTGAGTGTGAGTCTCATCCATGATGCGCCCAACCGAGCATGTATCAGAACCTAACACTCAACCCTCAGTACCATGCTCCTCCCGAATCAAATGATGGACGGGATGCGATGCTTTACCCAAGTCAATCTCCATACAGCGCATACATGGGAGATCGCCAATCCCACACGTACCCGCCAGAGTACGGCGACGATCGAGCGCCCAGCAGCGTGTATCCGAGCGCCGTGCCTGGCGACTTCGACCAGATGCTGAACAATGGGTACATGTACCAGCCGCCGATATCGCCTGTTTCTGAAGCCCCTAGCCGCGAGCTGCCTGTACTGCAGAAGGCCGAGATCCCTGGCGGCACAAGTCTTCGTCGACGCAATACACGAATGGTCAAGCTCGTCAAGGGCTCTGTGCTCAGCGCTGACTATCCTGTTCCAAGCGCAATCAAGAATGCTCTGGAGCCACAGTATCGAGACAGCGGGGAGGACGAATTCCTCAAGATGCGATACACTGCTGCTACCTGCGATCCGAACGACTTCACAATACAGAAGGGGTATGACCTGAGGCCTCGGATGCTCAATCGGCACACAGAGTTGCTGATTGCGATCACGTATTACAATGAAGACAAGGTCTTGCTGGCTCGGACGCTTCACGGAGTCATGCTAAACATCCGTGACATTGTCAGGCTGAAGAAATCAACATTCTGGGGCGCTGGAGGCCCTGCCTGGCAAAAGATCGTTGTCTGCCTGGTCTTTGACGGCATATCCAAGGCCGACAAGGAGGTCTTGGATGTGCTTGCAACCGTTGGAGTATACCAGGAAGCCGCCCTGAAACAGGACGTGAACGGCAACAAGACTGTGGCGCACATCTTCGAGTACACCACCCAACTTTCGATTACCCCAAACCAACAGCTTGTCCGTCCCAATGCCGAGGACAACCTGCAAAACCTGCCCCCTGTGCAGCTAATGTTCTGTCTGAAGCAGGACAATAGCAAGAAGATCAACTCCCATCGCTGGCTTTTTAACGCATTTGGGCGGATCTTGAACCCGGAGGTGGCCATCCTGATCGACGCAGGCACCAAACCTGGCCCGCGGTCACTCCTTGGGCTATGGGAGGCATTTTACAACGACAAGCAGCTCGGGGGCGCCTGTGGTGAGATCCACGCAATGCTTGGTAAAGGGAAGAGGAAGCTGTTGAATCCCATCGTGGCCGTTCAGAATTTCGAGTATAAAATATCGAATATTCTGGACAAACCGCTCGAGAGTGCGTTCGGGTACGTCACAGTTTTACCTGGAGCCTTTTCAGCGTACCGCTTCCGTGCCATCATGGGGCGGCCCTTGGAGCAGTACTTTCACGGAGATCATACACTGTCCGCGATACTGGGTAAGAAGGGAATTGATGGCATGAACATCTTCAAGAAAAATATGTTTCTAGCTGAGGATCGTATCCTCTGCTTCGAACTTGTTGCCAAGTCGGGCCAAAGCTGGCACCTCTCGTATGTCAAAGCCGCCAAGGGTGAAACCGACGTCCCTGAGGGAACAGTCGAGTTCCTTAATCAGCGACGAAGGTGGCTCAATGGATCATTCGCCGCTTCGCTGTACTCTTTGATGCACTTTGGAAGGATTTACAAGTCAAGCCACAGCTTCATCCGAATGATATTTCTGCATATCCAGCTGATTTACAACTTTCTCAACGTTCTGTTTAGTTGGTTTGCCCTCGCCTCTTACTATCTCACGACGGCCATTATCATGGATCTCGTGGGGACACCCGAGATTCTTCTGGCTTACCATGGCTGGCCGTTCGGTGACAGAGTAACGCCCGTCTTTAATACTCTCATGAAATACATATACATCATCTTCATCATTATTCAATTCGTCTTGGCCCTTGGAAACAGGCCAAAGGGTTCACGGCACACTTACACGGCATCTTTCATTGTGTTCGGGATTTCGCAGCTTTACATCCTGATCTTGTCCATGTATCTGGTATACAGAGCTCTCAGTGTGCCAATCGAAAAGCAGATCTCGTTTGCATCAGGGCAGGATGTTCTCAACAGCTTCTTCGGCGGGGAGGGCGCCGCTGGAGTCATCCTGATCGCCCTGATTACAATTTACGGCCTGAATTTTGTCGCCTCGTTTCTTTATCTCGATCCTTGGCACATGTTCCATTCCTTTCCTCAATATCTCATCCTCATGTCAACCTACATCAACATCTTGATGACGTTTGCATTCAACAACTGGCACGATGTCTCATGGGGAACAAAAGGATCGGACAAGGTTGATGCGCTTCCTTCCGCACATGTTGTCACGGATGCTGTAAACGGGCCTGCGGTGGAGGAGATCGAAAAAGAACAGGTGGACATCGACACAGAGTTCCAAAACACGGTGAAGCGGGCCCTGTCGCCCTTCCAAGAGGAGGTAGAAATTGAGAAAATCGACGTGGATGACTCATACAAGTCATTCCGAACTGGTCTGGTTGTTACTTGGATTCTCACCAACATGGCATTGATCGTGGGTGTTACCAGCGATGAATTTGCCAGTTTGGGGGTTGCTGTGAGTTTGTTCCCTCCTGGAGGACTGAAGATGAAGTCGAACGCCTTTGCTAACGAGAGTTTTAGAAAGCTTCCACGGGACGAACTCCCATGTATTTCAGAGTTCTACTGTATGCGACCGCCTTGCTTTCCATTGTCCGTTTTATCGGGTTCTTGTGGTTCTTGGGCAAATCCGGTATTATGTGCTGTTTTGCGAAGAGGTAGGAGACATGAAGTGATTTGAGTCATCCTACCGGCTCAAAATGTAAGGCCTCATTCCATTATTGGATTGCCTAAATTGGACATAGACATTTTTCACGGTTGGTAGTCATGAATTATGGCGGCTTTTTTGCTGGTTTTCGGGATAGGATAAATTGTCTGAGCTTGATCATAGAAACGCGCAATGGGAATATTCGTTTGAAGGGAAAATCTGAGTATTGTTTTTATTAAACTAGGTATTATAGAACTTAGATCTCAATTTCCTACCTAAACTTACCTATAGGTAATTTTGGGTACCTATCCAAGTGGGTGAAATAAAACATGGCACACCAAAGCTCTTTTCACGTAAGGCAGGGACCTCATTTTGTATTAAATAAAATAACAAGAGGAGAATAATAAATTATTCTACGATATTTAGCTTGATATTGTATATATTACTGCATTAATTGTTTTAATATTGTGTTAAAATTCAACGCTGGAGTGTGCAGGTGTGCCGTGTTTTATGTCAGTCGCTTGCTATCTTACACTATTTTAGATTTTGGATACCCAAAATTACCCATATATCGAAGCCTAGTTATGACTACCGACCTCGTAAACTAAACTCAATTCATTTCAAAGTTGCAAGGCGAAAAATCGTTGGCTGATTCGAGACATAGCTTACGTCGCGTAATCATATAATTCCGCTAATTCTCCCACCAGGGCAACCGCCAAGAAGAGCCAAGAGGGCTGTTAAATTACAAGGTAGTAATAGTGCAACCAATGGATAGGGCTGAAAGACATGGAGTAATTTTCATTCAGTATAAACTCCTTGCTCACGTCATTAGCTTCTGTTTCCTTCAGTGAAATTATCATCGAGAAAGAGGTCACGTCAACGTCCACTTCTCCGCCATGGCACGTCGCTTCATGAGGCCGCTGAGTCTATTATCATTGATTGCACGTGAGTAGTCCGCCTCGAATGTTGGTAAACTTTAATGTCCTAAAAATCAACAGAGATTGAGCCGCTTGCTGCATTTGACTGCAACAGTAATGCCACTATCTCTTCTATAGGCGATGCCAAAGAGTTACGTGAGAATTGCAGGATACTCCGAGGTGACTTATCTTTTACCGACAACATTACGGAGACTATCAACCTAGATGGCTTGGAAGAGGTTCATGGAGTACTCTACCACGTAGGTTGTCCTCCGTACGATAGTTGTCTTGGCGCGACCGATGAGCTGTTTGACATAACCAGCTCTACGCTGAGCTTCCTCGGTGACGGTATATATTTTTGGAACTTCCGGAGCCTGGGGAAACTCAATCTACCGAATCTAAAGACCGTCAATTCATCAATTTACTTGCAGGAACTACCAAACCTTACCCATGTGGATTTTACAAACCTGGAAACACTAACAGGTGTAAAGCTTGATGTCAGTAAGCTTGAAGAGTGGAAACAAAACGGCTTGAAGAATTACACGGGCTCAAAACCACCCTATATCAGTCTTCCTGATTTAGGGAATTTGAAGTCTATCGACAGCTTATTCGCGAGTCCAATTGACCCTTTCCAACACCGACGTTCTTGGCAAGAAAGAGTGGACCTCTTGCTCGGTCTAAATAAGCTGCGAAATTTTACTTTTGGTTGGTCAGGAATAGATAAGCTGACCGTGCGCGGCGAGGACTTGACTGTTACTTTCGGGGCATCATCCTCAGAGAAACTTGAGGCTCAGGAAATCATCATTGGTGACGGTGTCACGAAAGTCGTGCGCGGGCCAAAAATGGCAAATTTTACCACTGAAAGCTTTTCGTGTCAATGTGGTGACCTTTCGTCGTTGGAGGTCCCGGTTGATCTAGTCCATGATGTGTATATCAGTGGAGGGAAATTGGAATCAGTGCAGCTCCCAGTTGCGGCAGAGAAGTGGAAAGATGTCAGCCTCTCGCTTTATACACCTCGAATTTTGATGAATTCGACTAAAGATCTCGATGGCAACACCATTTGGCATTGGCCCAAGGAAGAGATGCGTAGCTTGACACTGGCTGCAAACATTACTACGGACTTTTTGTAAGTTTTTGCTTGTTTCTTTATTTGTTCGGGCATTTCTAACGCAGACAATAACAGCTCATCCTTCATAAAAGGCAACACACGTGTCACCGGGTCCTTTATTATTAATGACTCCTCGGGGAAGTTGGACTGCAAAATATTTGACGAAATTAAGGACAGGTTGCCGAGCGGGTACCTCTGCCGTTCGGATGACAAGAGTTCCGCAGGCAACCAGTCAGTACCATTGTTGCTGCTCTATGCCGGATTATTCCAAGCTACTATGTTTTTGATATTAGGATAAATCCAAGGCTTGAAGCAATCATTCAGATATATTGTAATAACCTTTTCAACTCTGATATTAACGTATTTAACGGCAATGGCACGATACTGGAATAATATGTTAACAGGAGAGTTACTTGTGCAGTAGCCTTGACATTGTACTACGGCTACCTACTGACTTATTGCTGGCGGCTTTCTTGCAGCAACCTTTTCATGGCGATTCCCTTCAATTGAATTGTTCCTCCCGCATTCTTACTATTTGTCTTGATTAATCTCTGGTTATGGTAGTCTGCTGATTGAGATTGGATTAAATAGGAGGTTTCCTAACCGCCTTTCTTGTTAGTAGCCTTTTTACATTTCTAACCAAGATTGATGCCGGGGATGTAGGTACGGTATGTACCGGTACATATAGAACAGCAAGTGCTGTGTCTATGGCCAGCAACACATACACAAGCCTAGGACAGCATAAGACTAGATGTAGATGTAACAGAGATTTGTGAACCCAGCAAGTGGGTGACATGAAATTGAGACGCTCAAACATTAAGTTGCTTATTTTCGAGTTTGCGACCGGTATTGTCAGACTATTGAGTGCTAATAATGCATACCTCAGAGATAATATAGCGGAGATGATCACTTTATTTGATTTTATACTGCTGAATTTCTCTAGTTATTGTAGAAAGTGGTCCGCTTATTACTAACTCTTCCATTAGGTGTCTCATTTCTCCTGTCACCCACTTGCCCAGTAGTTCACGAATGCAATGTTGACGCACATCAACTAAGTGTCATTTGAGCTCTATGTCTACAACTTAGCTAGAGGCCTAGCTCTGGGAGTAATACAACTGAAAAAAAAGAAAAAAAAAGGAAGAGATATTTGAAAGCCGTGGGCTTACGAGGCTAAATAGGAAGTGTAATTCGAATGCGAGTGGTTGACAAACCCAAAAGGCCACACAGTATGGGAGATTATCTTCAAGCTGGAGGCAGAGTTTCATGCAGATAATGTGCCTCAGAAGTTCTCATTTCAGTCGTTTTCGTTCAACCGATTTCTAGTCCCCGCCCGCCCCTCAATACGTATGAAAAGCCAACACTAACAGCCAACGACTTATGCGCACATAGTGGCAGGCAAGGCAACGGCGGAATCTGTTGGTACTCTTTGTCATCGGGAGGGCTGTTTTGAATATTCGGTATAGTAAACCAGGTCTATAACGATTTCGACATAACGATGTTTTAGCCGTAACTATCCAAGATGTATGACCAGCTAGTTTTACTAGTGAAATGCCATGAACCCTGGTATTAGTGATATTATTAGAACCCTAAGATTTCTCTGGATAAGCTTATTTAAGAGAACCCCTGTTTCTAAGAAAGCTATACTAATAATAAGCATGTGATAAGCACTTAACTCCCCCTTTGACCTATAATCTTAATAAAATTGGAGAAACCTTCTCTGATTAGGAAGGTTGACTAGAACGAAACCTGGACATAACGATCTAGAAGGTGTTTTTTCTAATATCGTAATAGACCTGGTTAACTGTACTTAGAAAGGGACACATGAATTCATTAGATGCGCCAGTTTTTCTCAGTTGCCACCAATTAACCCCCTCAGCGAACAACACCATCTTCAAGCGCTCATCTCAACATCATGTCTAAGCAAACCATCTTGATCACTGGCTGCAGCGATGGTGGTATTGGCTCTGCACTGGCCATTGTCTTCCAAAAGCGAGGATTTCACGTCGTCGCTTCTGCTCGCGATCCCACCAAAATGAGCATGCTCGAAGATCTCCCTAACATAACACTTCTCACGATTGATGTGGTTAAACCAGCAGATATCAAGAATGCTGTTGACACCATCTTGGAGAAAACCAATGGTACTCTGGACTATTTGATTAACAATGCTGGTCGTAATCATTTTATGCCAATTCTAGATGAAGATCTCGATACTGTCAGAAATCTTTTTGAGATTAATTTCATTGCTCCAATTGCCCTTGCTCAAGCCTTCGCTCCTTTACTCATCAAGGCCAAGGGGATGGCTGTCTTCATCGCCTCTACAGCAGGGTATCTGAATATTCCCTACATGGGTAATTGCCCCTGTCATAATAGCTTCCTACAGATTTTGGGTTAATAAAAGCAATATAGGTACATATTCAGCTTCTAAAAGAGGCATGGAAGTTGTAGCAGACACGCTGCGACTCGAAATGGCCCCCTTCGGCGTTGATGTGCTGGAAGTGGTAACAGGCGGGGTCAAATCAAAGGGACAGACATATTTCGGCGATTTCAAGCTGCCTGAGAGTTCCTTGTATAAGAGGATTGAATCTACCGTTGCTAATCGCGCTCAGGGAGGGGACGGGATGCCAAGGATGGATACCGAGGAATACGCCACAGCAGTCAGCGACGAGATCCTCAAACGTACCACAGGTAGATTTTGGTGCGGTCAGCACGCTGACCAAGTTCGAATGGGCACAACAGCAGTGGGAGTGCCACAAGCAGCCATGGATGCCGGGGCTTTGATGGGGACTGGCCTTGAGGAATTACCTTAGACATGAGGAAGATGGAGCTATCTACCATCAATCACAATTGTGACAGGTTCCGATAATTACATCTTCCGAACCCGCAAAGCAGTATTAAGAGCCTTCGCCTAGAAAATTGATATTCATTCTATCATGTCTCATACTAGTGCTGCAACGATACTTAGCTGGGTTGGACATAGTGACTCTGAGGATATAATGACGGAGTTATTATGACCAGTGACTCTGAGGATATAACGATGGAGTTATTATGACCAGTGACTCTGAGGATATAACGACGGAGTTATAAGCACAGCCCGTAGCTTAGTACTTTGTGGGGAGTCTCGCGGCCCGTCTCGGACCGTTCAGTAGGCCGCTTAGATAAGAAAAATCACCAATAGGCGCGACTGTAGAAGAGTTGACCGGACCGCAAAAGAGGCAGATCGGACCGCAGAGACGTATCCGGACGGATGTTGTGGTAGGCCGAATGCCGTCGGACTGATAACCCAGGCTTTGTATCATCAACCTTTATAAATAACAGACCGGACCGACGAACCTTATACCTTTCTCCATTTCAAAACTACCCCCGTAGACAGTCAGCAACAATCATGATGACGAACCATCTGCTGAAGCCTACCTTTTCTTTGATTGATCATGATGGTCGCAGGATTGACGAAACAGCCTTCCGAGGCAAGCCGACCATTGCCTTCTTCGGTTTCACCAACTGTGCTGTTGTCTGCCCACGAGCTCTTGCCCGCCTGACAACTGTCATTAACAGCCTTAAACTAACTACCGACCGACTCAATGCCTTGTACATCTCAGTAGACCCGGATCGGGATTCACCGGAAGTCATGAAGTCGTTTCTGGCAGGGCGTGCTCCTCACTTCACCGGCTTGACCGGCACGCAGGCAGAGCTTGGGTTGGCTCGTAGGGGCTTCCGAGCATTCGCAGATAGAAAGCGGGAGAATGGTACACCGGAGAATTATGATATTCCTCATACGGCCATCACGTATATATTAAATCCTGACGGCTGCCTGGTGGACCATCTCCAAGACAGCCTCAGCGACACGGAGGTCATGGCCCGTCTCAAGCGTGTCATGGATGAAGTACATCAAAAGGATCAAGTCAACAACGCCGCTCTTTTGACAGAAACTAGTCGAGACAACGACATCGACGAAAGCTTGAAAGTATTGGATAAAAAACAGGTCGCTAGCAGCAGGCATATCGGCAACCTAGCTCGGCAGCTCAAAGGTGACTGGTCGAACATGATGGGCCCGACAGACCTGAATGATGGGTTTGGTGCTTACCGGTTCCAGCTCGCTTACGGTTTCTATGCACTGGCGCTGGCGCACTTTCACAGGCTCCCAGCGGCTCCTGGATTATTCCAAGACACTATGGAGCGGATGATCGAAAAGATGTGCCATCCAGATGTCTGGTTCTACTGGCGCGATGCCAGCACAGGCGGGGGTGTCGCGAGAACAACAAGGAAAGAGCCAGATGCAAACCCCATTGAGAAGGACAACATCATGTACAGCGCCTATCTGCAAACAATGACGCTTCTTTACCATAGTCTATTTGACGATGATCGCTACACGAAGCCTGGGTCACTGAAGCTCGAGTATGACCCGTTCTTCTGGGGTGAGCCTGGAGGATTCAAATTTGAGTATGACCAGAACTCGCTCAACGATCGGGTCTACTGGAACATGGTTGAGAGCGGATATCTGGGTGTCGCCTGCGAGCCTTGGTGCGTGTTCCAGATTTGCAACCAGCCACCTATCATTGGCTTCCGCTTAAACGACGAACTCACCGGTAGCCGAACCGCCGATGAGGTCACCGTAGGCTATGTTAGGGCCTGGGAGGACTTTGGCGGCTCCATTGAGCCGGAAGGTGGCTATCGGCTTTTTGTTGCCAGGCATAACAACATGTTGGCACCGAGTCCTGGAACGGGCATGGATGCTTGGTGTGCTTTCTTGATGCACTCGTGGAACCCAGACTTCGTGGAGAAGAACTATGAGCGGCAGCGTACCAAGGCACTGGTTCGACATGAGGACGGTACACTGTCAGTCAAAGTCAACATCATTGATGGACAGTCGAAAAATACGGCCCTTCTGTTACAAGGTGCTGAGTTCGGTTGGTTTGCCGCCCTGGCTGCAGAGATGGGTGACCAAAACACACTCAAGGGACTTCTGGACTACGCCGACAATAGATTTCGCCCCCGTTATCAGGGTGGAGGGTTGTTGTACCCACG